CTACCAGTGGACAATGTCTCCAGGAGAGCACCATTAGCTCTTTACTGTCCTGAAGTTGGAGCCTGTGTTTCTGTATCAGATGTAGGCTCCTGGACCTTTGTGTAGAGTCCCCAGATTCAAGGCTAACAGTGGCAGTGAGCGCCTAACTACTCTTGGCTGACCCAGGCTAAGATGAGACCTTGGGGACCGCATAGTCTGAGACAGCCATGTCAGTTCAATGCAAGTGGTCAGCAAAAAGAGAGAAGGGCAAGATTGGCTGAGAGAGAGAGAGTGAGAGCGAGAGCAAAAGTGAGAGAGAGAGAGAGAGAGAGAGAGGGAGAAAGAGAGGGAGTCAGAGAGGGAGAGACAGAGAGTGCATGACCCTCTTTAACTCCTTCTTTCATAAGATTTTTCTTCTTCCTAACCCTCTGTTTTCCTACACAATGACCATGACTCTCTTCCCTCATAAACAGTGGAGAGACCCTCCTCATCTAGAGCTGACCTTTTCCCTATTCTTAGTCTCTGACCAGGGATCTAAAACCAGAAGGCTGACTTAGGGCTTTTTTACGTAGTTGCAGAAAAATAATCAATACTTAGCCTCATAACAGAGTTTCAAAGCATACATAGTCTTCTTAAAAGAAACATAATGCATTTCCCTCAAATTTTACCCCAACTCTTTGCAGCAAACAATGAGCTTCCAATTTAGAACCTCCTGACTCCCCAAGAAGTCCCATTCAATCAGGACTATGACACAACACTAGGGAATATATGAGCACATGGAGCTGTAGTAAAACACATAACTTACTTGGTTCCACAGTGAGTTGAGTCCCGCTTCCAAAGAAGAGTTCTGCTGTCAAAGCACTACTCCAGGCATCATTACAAAAACCATTGCTATGCATTTTCCCACTGTCAGTCTAGTTCATCTGTTGGAAGGAGGTGGGTGGAGCAAAAGGGTGTAGCTAGAGAAAGAACTTCGCAAGGGCTACTGAGATCTGAGAATTATATTTTGGCAGCTTGTTTGATGTCTGTTGTCTTTGAGTGTTGACATTTA